TCAAAGAATTTTAGCACTGGGGACTGTGTGCATAAGTCTTTAAATTTGTCAAAGGCTTGTTGCTGTGCCGGCTGCCATGCATACTCGACATCAGTCTTTAGAAGCTGTCGCAGAGGTGCATCCACCTCACTGAGATTTGGCAAGAACTTTGACAAGTAGGTAACAAAGCCAAGGAAGCGACGGACACCATCCTTGTTTGCTGGCGCTGGCATGGACTTAACAGCTTTGATTTTAGCTGGGTCTGCCTTTAGACCCTCAGCTGTTATTAGGTGTCCTACATATGGCACAGAAGATTGCTTGATGTGGCATTTGTCGAAGTTGAGGCTCAGATTGTAACTTGTGGCTCTCTGAATTACTTTATGGAGGATCGCATCATGCTCCTTCTCTGTGGGTGCTGCTATCAGGATGTCGTCCATAATGCTTATCGCACCACTGATCCCCTCAAGCATTTCATCCATTATTTGCTGAAAAATCTCCGGTGAGCATTTCAAGCCAAAAGAAAGCCTCAGCCACCTGAACCTCCCAATGGGCGTGTTCAAAGTTGTCAACAGAGATGATGCTTTGTCCAGTTCTATCTGCAAGAACTCAGATTTCGCATCCAGGACTGAGAAGACTTTAGCACCCGGGATTGCGGAGACTACTTCTTCAATGGTGCACATCGGGTAGTGCTCCCTCTTTATAGCCTTGTTTAAATCACTCGGATCAATGCAAATTCTTATCTTGCCATTCCGAACAGCTGTTACTACTGAACTCACCCACTCAGTCGGTTGGTCGACTTTGGTGATGTATCCCATTTTTACCATCTCTTGCAGAGTGCCGCTGGTTGACGTCGGACTGGATGAACTACGCCTTTTGCGTTTGGGTCAATTTTAATCGTGTATTTGCCCGGCAAAGTTCCCGTAGTATGTGCCAACTCTGGATAATCATCTAGCCCAGCTGGCACATTCTGTGTTTCCATTGCACCACTGGAGCATTTTCCTTTGTTTTTCAGGTTAGTTGGCTGCAATGCATCCAGCCGAATGACTAAGCCTAGTGTTTCAGCCGTTTCACCACTCAGCACATTTTCTTGTGAGATATCCACAATCTCAAACTCTGCTATTACAGTAGCACTCTTGTATTTAATTCTAAGATCAACTGCTGCTACTGGTTTCAGCTTGTGGTTAGAGTATGACTGCAGAACTCGATGTGAACGTTTAAGCTCACCAGTGTGCATAAGTTCCTGATAATTACTCAAAGTCAATGTATTACACTTTGCACCTGTATCAATTCTGAATGGCACTTTCTGTGACAGGATTTCAATGTCTGCTGTCCATTTGTCACTACTTACTTCCTTTGTCTGTGTCAAATTAATGTTGAGAATTTCCTCCTCTTTCGTTTCTGATTCCTCCTCAACGCTTACTGTGTTGACGGATCTTTTGCGACATACTGCCACCCAGTGGTTTGGCTTGTGACAGTAGGAACAGACAGAGCCTTTTGCTGGGCATTTTCCTTGATTCCACTTATGCTGTGGGTCTTTGCCACAACTTGCGCACCTTTGGGGCCGGTTTACATGCATTTCTTTCTGAACATATTTTGTTTGATTCTTTTGATAGGCTTTTTTGTTTGCCGCTTGGTATAAGCGTAGTATTTCAGCCATTTCACCACTCAGCGCATTTTCTTGTGAGATATCCACAATCTCAAACTCTGCTATTACAGTAGCACTCTTGTATTTAATTCTAAGATCAACTGCTGCTACTTGGTTTCAGCTTGTGGTTAGAGTATGACTGCAGAACTCGATGTGAACGTTTAAGCTCACCAGTGTGCATAAGTTCCTGATAATTACTCAAAGTCAATGTATTACACTTTGCACCTGTATCAATTCTGAATGGCACTTTCTGTGACAGGATTTCAATGTCTGCTGTCCATTTGTCACTACTTACTTCCTTTGTCTGTGTCAAATTAATGTTGAGAATTTCCTCCTCTTTCGTTTCTGATTCCTCCTCAACGCTTACTGTGTTGACGGACCTTTTGCGACATACTGCCACCCAGTGGTTTGGCTTGTGACTGTAGGAACAGACAGAGCCTTTTGCTGGGCATTTTCCTTGATTCCACTTATGCTGTGGGTCTTTGCCACAACTTGCGCACCTTTTGGGCCGGTTTACATGCATTTCTTTCTGAACATATTTTGTTTGATTCTTTTGATAGGTTTGCCGCTTGGTATTTTATTTTCACATGCACTGCTCGCACTTGAGACTCTTCTTCCCTGACGATTTGAATCTGCTTCTGTGAAAGTTCGAATTGCTGAGCAATTTCAAGCGCTTTCGGCAGCGTTAAGTCTTCTCCTTTGTCTAACAGTCTTTCTTGGACGCGCTTCTCTCTGACACCCGCGATTATTGCATCGATCAACATGTCATCTGGATCGGCATACTCGCAATCCATTCTCTGCCTTACATAGCTGGCGAATTTGTCCAAAACTTTGAATGGATCATTTCTCTCCCCTTCCGCCCAGCTGAACGTCTTGTAGATTTCCCGGCCTTGTTCGCCGATCCACGTACCCAGCCAGCCTGCGCGCTGCTTCGCGGTTAGCTTCGATAGTGGGCCTTCGAAGACAAACGGGACGTGACTTCGAAATCTTTCAAATTCCTGATACAACTCCGGAGTGTCCCAGTTGATTTTGGGGTGTTCGAACTGCGAGGATGCCATATTTATTTTCCTTGATTCCACTTATGCTGTGGGTCTTTGCCACAACTTGCGCACCTTTGGGGCCGGTTTACATGCATTTCTTTCTGAACATATTTTGTTTGATTCTTTTGATAGACTTTTTTGTTTGCCGCTTGGTATTTTGTTTTCACATGCACTGCTCGCACTTGAGACTCTTCTTCCCTGACGATTTGAATCTGCTTCTGTGAAAGTTCGAATTGCTGAGCAATTTCAAGCGCTTTCGGCAGCGTTAAGTCTTCTCCTTTGTCTAACAGTCTTTCTTGGACGCGCTTCTCTCTGACACCCGCGATTATTGCATCGATCAACATGTCATCTGGATCGGCATACTCGCAATCCATTAGTATAAGTCTCAAGTCCTTCACAAAGTGGTCAAAACTCTCAGCAGTCCCTTGCTTTCTTTGCTTGAAACGATGTCTGACTATCCTCCTATTCTTTCTCGGCCTTACGTAGCTGGCGAATTTGTCCAGAACTTTGAATGGATCATTTCTCTCACCTTCCGCCCAGCTGAACGTCTTGTAGATTTCCCGGCCTTGTTCGCCGATCCACGTACCCAGCCAGCCTGCGCGCTGCTTCGCGGTTAGCTTCGATAGTGGGCCTTCGAAGACAAACGGGACGTGACTTCGAAATCTTTCAAATTCCTGATACAACTCCGGAGTGTCCCAGTTGATTTTGGGGTGTTCGAACTGCGAGGATGCCATATTTCATTATCTGTACTTTGCAGACTTCTGACACCATGTAAGATAATGCACGATACTGACACTGTGCTTTCAAACGTTCAGTCCAGCTTTACTTCTTTTACTGCAGTGCACACACGCATGAGGAGGAGGAGCCTATGCTAATCCACCACAGAGTCCGGAGTGTTTCTTAAAGACGCACTGACCAAATGACAATACATTACATTACAATAAGTCTGTTACCACCGCTACTTTATTACAAGAGTATCCTACTATCCAGAAAATCCATTAGTATAAGTCTCAAGTCCTTCACAAAGTGGTCAAAACTCTCAGCAGTCCCTTGCTTTCTTTGTTTAAAACGATGTCTCACTATCCTCTTATTCTTTCTCTGCCTTACATAGCTGGCGAATTTGTCCAAAACTTTGAATGGATCATTTCTCTCACCTTCCGCCCAGCTGAACGTCTTGTAGATTTCCCGGCCTTGTTCGCCGATCCACGTACCCAGCCAGCCTGCGCGCTGCTTCGCGGTTAGCTTCGATAGTGGGCCTTCGAAGACAAACGGGACGTGACTTCGAAATCTTTCAAATTCCTGATACAACTCCGGAGTGTCCCAGTTGATTTTGGGGTGTTCGAACTGCGAGGATGCCATATTTCATTATCTGTACTTTGCAGACTTCTGACACCATGTAAGATAATGCACGATACTGACACTGTGCTTTCAAACGTTCAGTGCTGCTTTACTTCTTTTACTGCAGGAGCGCAGGAGATGCAGATAACGTGATCTTGACCCTTAAGAAACTTTAATTAATGCCGTCACATAACAAATCTGTTTAAATATAAAATTAAATTAATTGCTAATTACTACATTGAAATAAAAAATAATAATTGGGTATCATGTAAAAATTTAAATAAAATAAAAACAGTGCACATTTCATTTATCTATTATAACATTTATGTAGTTTTGTTCGCTTGTCTGTTTCCTTATAGAAGTCCAGAAATTTGTCAAGTTTTTCATCAGGTGTCTTTTTTAATTATATGATGTCATTACGTTGCTGTCTTGCCGCCAGCCAATCGCTGCATTGCTGATCGTGGTTTCGAGTATCGATACATAGCCCCTTTTAAACCAACCCATGAACGCGCAATTATCTCAGATAACTCAATCCAGCCATACTAATCATCAACAACAGGTGCGTTCGAAGAACCGAATTAGCCAGATCCTGATTAGCGCGATGATATCATCTTGGATATGACATTTCATCTCGGACGTAATAAGCGATGTACGAAGAACGGGCCCCCAGTCTAGGGCATATTTACATAGAAAAAAACAAAGGAAATCAGCACAGTGCAATGCAAAACGTAATTCTGTATGATCGGCCCCTAACTGTGTGGGGATGGAAACTTGATTTGGGCAAAAATCGCTGAATCCAAAGTACCATAAGTCATTGGCAATTAAATGAGATTCACAACCTTTGAGTTGTCAAAAAGTGTTTTGTGTGTGAATAGTGGCACTGCATTCATTTACACACAAGCAGCTCAAGATCCAGTGTTTTCAGTGTCTCAGAGTGTTTACTGTAGAGTGAGAGTGTTTGCTGTAAATGCTGCTGCACATGAACAGTATATCTGGGAGCGCCGTCGCTCATACAAACACAGCTGTTGTTCAGTTGTTTTATTGACATGAAAAACAACATACAAATGATTTACCAAAACATTTACAGCTTCAGAACATGGAAATGTGCTAAACATTAAACAACAATAATACAAAATGAAATTAAAACAATACACATGTTTAATAATACAATCAAAAGGAAGACAAGGGAAAATAAATTGGAATAAAAATAAATATTCTCCTGCAGGTGTTATTCCTGCATTCCTGGAGTTTTATCAAGTTTGAACTTGAATTTCTGATTGTTGTCTTATGTATATTGTGTCTAGTTTAGAAACTACAGTATGTAGGTATCTCACTCTCTTTTCCAGTTTTGAAAATTACTCATTTACATACTGGTGTTTCTCTCACTGAGGACTATCATAGTTATCTCATTGACTTTTTGTTTTGATTTATGTTTTAATGAATGAATGATGATGGACAAACAGCTGGCATTTCATTTGGAGGGACTATATTAATGGCTCAGTCTACAGTATTAACATTAAAAAAAACTATTATACTCATTCTGTATACTCCAAGTACCTAGTGTTTGGAATAAAACTACAATATGTTAATACTGTTCTGTTCTTTTAAACTGCTGGATCAGTATCTGCATTTGTCCAGGTGACAGTCTTGTTCAGGGCGTGTTGTTTTGATTCACTTGTTTGGAGCTTGTGGAGTTTCCACTGTCAAATACTGTACAATATAGAGAAAGATAAAATACACTAAGATCTGCTTTAATACAAGATAAGAAGTAAAAGCATTGACTCAAAAACTTACTATAGTTTCTCCGGTTTACAGTGTGGATCCTCCAGTAGAGCAGAGAGCAGCTTCACTCCTGAATCTACTGGTTTATTACGGCTCAGATTCAGTTCTGTCAGGTGTGAGGGGTTTGATCTCAGAGCTGAAATCAGAGCAGCACAGCCTTCCTCTCCAATACTGCAGCGCCACAGCCTGCAGAGAGTGAAGAACATGAATGATCTCTGTTTAAACTTTACGGTGAGAGTCTGTTTGTGTGTTTGTATGAGCACTACTTTTTCTATACAGTAGGATTGGTGCTATAGACATTTTACCTTGCCAGCACAACACGATTCCTGATTGTGATACTGAACTTGTTTCCCATCTAGAATTTTCTTATGTTCTGGGAATGTTTTCTGCGGCATGTTTTATTTTTGTTCCCAGGATGTTCTGCTAAAAGGTAGGATAACATTCTCTAAAAACATAAACATGTTTATTGGTAACATTATTAGAACATTATCCCCTAACATTCTAATAAAGATTTTAGTGGGAAGATTCCTATTGCACTATATGTGGACTTTGTGGATGTGAAATTTAGTTTAAAAGTGAAAACCCAACCTTTGTTTGATGTCAGCCCCCATCATCATTAAATAACTCCAAAACACATCATTACCAGCTTCAAATATAAACCAGATTGGCTTTATTTTTGTCATACATTTACAAAGGTTCTTATTGAGATTAACAAAGGTTTAGATGTTGACGGTTTAATGAAAATAATAGTTTGGTTTGAAGTCACCATTGTTGTGAAAAGGGAGGAGAAACAACAAGAGAACATGTGATCAGATGATGTTGGCTACTTGTTGATGTTAATCATCATGTTGTGACTAAACTATGCTATTAATTTCATTTTAGTGACTGTAGTAATGCATTTCAACAACATGTGATGCAGCAGTGCTTTAATCGGATAATTAGTATTTTTATCTGTAATTTTAAAAACACATTGTTCATAAATCGTTTTGAACCAATGAATGCTTAGGCACACACAAACATCAAGAATTAGTCTATGAATCTCAACAATGGTGACATGCTTCATGCCGAAATGCATTCTGGGAGCCATGGATGAGTTTTGTATGATGATCAAGCATGTCACCATTGCTGAGATTCATAACCTGAGTCTTTATGTTTGTGTGTCTTAATGACAAAGATTTTTTTTTTTAAATCCTTAAAGTGATCTGATTAAAACGGCTGGATCTCAGCCTCCTTCCGTTTCATGTCTGCCGTGCTGCTGAGTGGTTTGTGATTGTAGCTCCGTGTAGCTTCACTTTTCTGTTGAATCTCTATCTTACTATCACTCTGTCAGGATCATCGACTGTCTGTGTCATGTTTTGCCCGTTTCTGTTCTTTTATTTGGTCATGTTCCTGTCCTTGTTTTGTTAATTAGTTTGATTATCATCCCATGCACCTGTGTTTTCCCCAATCATCCCCTGTATTTAAGTCCCAGTCTGTGCAGTCTGTCTCTGTTGGGTCTACTCGTTGTGTACATGTGTTTGCTCCAGCGCCCTTTGTGTGGATTTACCCTGTGTTCCTTGGATTAAAGACTTTTGATTGTACTCCTCGTTTCCCTCATACTCCTTCCAACAGCATACCGTGACAGAAGACCCGACCAAAGACAGTAACCTCCGTGTGTTTCCCCTCCGTTTGTTTTCCGTTTTTCCTCAGTGTTTTCTTTTGTTCCTGTTGTTTCCATGGATCCCCTCCTTCGCCCCGAATTCCTCCTCCTCCTGCTGGAGCAGGGGAACAGATCTCTCGAGGACCATGCAAGACCGTTCCGGCTGTTAGCTAGCACCACCAGCTACCCGGACGAGCGCCGTCGTCTGAAGATGGTCCTCGAGAGGATTTCGTTGCCTTCGTGGAGTGGACTCTGGCGAGAAACGGATCGCCATTCTACCCCGTGGATGATCTCGTCAGATCCAATCCAGACCCAGAGCCAGCCTCCGAGGCCCGGACTCCGCCTCGGCACCAAGCTCCCTCGCCTCCACCGTCACCCGTCAAACCACCAGCTCCACCGAGCTCCCTCGTTCCTCCGGCTTTCCTGTTGTTTCCATGGATCCCCTCCTTCGCCCCGAATTCCTCCTCCTCCTGCTGGAGCAGGGGAACAGATCTCTCGAGGACCATGCAAGCCCGTTCCGGCTGTTAGCTAGCACCACCAGCTACCCGGACGAGCGCCGTCGTCTGAAGATGGTCCTCGAGAGGATTTCGTTGCCTTCGTGGAGTGGACTCTGGCGAGAAACGGATCGCCATTCTACCCCGTGGATGATCTCGTCAGATCCAATCCAGACCCAGAGCCCAGCCCACCATCTCCCCGCGATGTGGAGCATCAGCCCGAGCCCACCGTTGACGGAGAGCCATTTCCCGCCGCGATCAGCGAGCCAGCGCAAAGCCTAGCGACTGAGCAAAGGGTCGCCCCGGACGTAGAGCTGTATCCGTCAGACCAGGTGCGAGAGCCGGCGACAATGCCCGTCACGAGGGAGAAAGCCGCGGACGCTGTGAGCGCGGAGAGGAGCTCCGCCCCCTGCACCACGGCTGAGGGTGAGCTGAGTATGGTGCGGCGAATGTGCCACACCGAAGAGGAGAGGGCTCCAGTCCC